TTCGACGACCAGCCCCATGGTTTTGTAAAACCAAGAGCGGGGACACCCTGAATAGTGTAGACGGGTTCCAATAAGGACGGAATAGCTGGCTGTCTAGTGCTCTTTGTCTGCCCTAACACAGCCCCTATAAATAACAAAAAGTATCCAACAATGGGGAGAATAAATAATTCAGCCCAAGGGAGTGAGATCCCCACATACGGGGAAACACAAATCCTCGATTGTTTGCAAAGTAGTAAGGCAAAGCACAAAGAACACCAGCTACCAATCACATGAATTCATGTTCAATATGAAACGTTGTTCAGCTTATTTCACTTTAGTTTCTGATTTAAATGTTTAAAGATCAACCGTGTTACGGGATTCAAACGATTTATTCAAAAAACACTCTGGAATTGATTGGTGCTGTACAGTTCAAAATGCCTCAATTCGCTACACTTTAATTTCAATTTCTCGAGCACGTTTAAAGCCACCAATTATTTGCCCATCCCTAAGAAATGTGGTTCTTATGGTGAATGCTAAGTAAAAAACCCGATAGCATCTCCACCGTTTGAGCGGGTTCGATAGGACCTTTAATTTCTCTAAATTATAATTAATTTGCTTTAATTTATACAATAAACCATTTGAACAATGGATTATTATCTATAACTACGAGCCATGTACATAGTCAAAACATACTTTTCTTCAACAATACGAATTACTGAATTTTCAATATAATACTTCAAAAAAAATGATTATCACCCATCCTCTGGGCCATTATCAATTTTTATCTGATCGTGGGATGCACACTCCCAGAACCACGGAACTGATATCCACGTAAATTATATTTTGTAAAAGATTTATTTTACAGATAAACAAACACGTTGGGGGTGCGATCCTTATTGATCAGAGCGTGCACGCCCCAGGACAGAACATGCTATAAACAAAACACCGCCGATCGCTGACGATCATCCGGGATTCGAAATGTGCATCCATTTTGGGGCCGTGTGCGCGGAGAAGGCGTATTGCTTGATTTTCTCCCACTTCGTTCGAGCGTGCAAGACCGTTTGTGCACTGGACGTTGTGGAATCCAATGCACAATTGACCCGAAGGGGGGAGGGGTAAGTGTAACACTGAGCGAATCGCAGATGTGATCCGATCAGCTATACGGGTATGGGAAATTCAGGGAACACAAAGTAAGAAAACAGTTCGGTAAGTGGCAACTATGCTAAAGAGATAGGCAGTGTTCCAGTAGCACAACTGCGGCCATTTTTCTTTGGTTATTTTGTAAGAACATAACGTAGAATATCTGCGGAAAAATTACAGAAGCTGTTTGAGAAGTGAAGTTTCATTTTCGACTCATTTTCGGATGTATTCGAAGCCTACAGGAACACAGAAGCTGTCAATTCATGAGAAACTTTATCAAGTTTCAGTTGATTTGAGAACACATTTTCGGGTACGATTCCGTTATTTTCTTGAATACCTTTGCTGGTGAACAGTGAACGTTTGGTGAATAAATGAATAGTCTCTATTTGAGAGAACCCCTGCAATGGCCGCTTCCGACAGATACCTCTGTATACCTGTCTGGTAGCATGCTGATTGAGATTCGGTGATCAAGTTTTCAGTCCACCGTGTTGGTGGCTGGTGGGTTGCAAGGCCCGCTACCTCACTCACTGATTAGCACTTTTTCACTCGTTGTAAAGCAGTTCTTGATTGCTAATAGTACATCCGTTTTACAAACTTATACATGAAATGTACCCATTGTTATTGTTATTGTTTTTACTATTAAAATGCAAAAGATTGCGGGCGTGCAAAGAAAAAAAGTAATGTGAGCAGTAACTTACGCTTTAAATTCCTCGCATAATGAAACATGTATTAGTTCACTGAACTTCACAGTTCACATACTGACAAACGAAAAGCAATGAATTATGATTTTAATTACACTCATTGACTTTATTAGTTAAATCGTTTGTGGAAAAACAACTGCCTGTAGTATACACCGGGTGCAAAGTGATCAGGAGTTTGGAATTTTCATATCAACGACCCGGATCTCAAGAATCCCATTCCTTCGCCCGTGCGCACCTTTCCCATCCCAGGATTTCTCTAGTAGCCTATTATTGGTTGCATCTCTTTGAAGAAACATTACCTACATTATTTTATATTTAGTAAACAAAAGCAACCGAAGATTTTCTAATTCTTATTAATCAATCAATCAATTGTGTTTCAAACAATCCATTTTCGTTTAGTGTATATTTATTTCTTAATGCTGCAAAACATATGATAAGTATTTATTTCTGCAGGCAGGATTTGTAATTCTCAAAAAAAAAGAACTGGAAAGTTTCATTGACTTTATTCGTAAAACACTCACATTTTGGTTTGATCAGGAAAACGCCCAGAGAGAGACAAAAATATTCTTGATGGTGAAATATGTTTGAACAAAAAATACATCTAAATCAGATAAAACTCGACGCTTATAATTTACGATTTGTTCTGCCCCATATGTCACTTTTCGTCACGTGACAGAGCATTAAACGAATTCGAAGAGTTTAAGCCTTGTGAAAATAAAACATTTCTCATATTATTGTAGTAGGCACACACTCGCACACACAGATGTGGAATTAAATCAAGCTGAGATTTCTGTTATGCAAAGCAAAAGCATTTTTCTTGTCCCCAATGTGTCCAGTTTAATTTCGAATAATAGTTAGCTGAAAACTAATCAGAGAGTTTTGTCAGTTCAGGGGCATAATGTACCAACTAGGGAATGAGGTCACAAACAAAAATCGTGGATAAGTGTCTCTCGAAGTGCGACAGATGGAACAAAACTAATCCTATTTCCAACTCAAAACCGTCATTTATACTTCAGTTGTACTGGCACGGATGAGGATGACTAACTGATAATTAATTTTTTATTTGCTTTCAACAGACTCAATGAAAGGTTTAATTATTTCGACCGATATGTGTACGAATCCTAACTGGTTACCAAAATTTTCAGGAAGACACTGGTTCAAATCCTATATGTATGTGGAGTTATTTCAAACAAACTATAAAATGAATGAAATATCCTATATAGAGATTTAAAACGCAGAATTCCGAACCACTAATGACTTGCAATCACTTAGATTTGGTTGTTTTGTTTGCTGTATCCAGCAAGTTTGTCTATTAATGACTTTCCCATTGTTGAGAAAATTATATTTTCGATAAAAAAGAATAACTCTCTGAAAAAACTGAGCAAAGGGAATGTCACCTGAAAGGTTCCATGTATGAGCTCGGTGAATTCGTGGATTCGTAACCTCGTGGGCGAGCGACTCGTCACACTGTCACATTTCCATTAGTTGTTCAATTCACCCCAAATTTTCAATTTGTTTTTCTTGATTACGTTCGATATGATTTATAAACAAATAATTAAATTATTCAATAAATTATAATAAATTATATAATAAATTATTTACTTAATGAACGCAACACGCTTATGACTTGTCTGCTTTAATCGCATGAACGCTTTTACTGTATACACCAGAAAACTTCAATTTTGAACATTTTGCAGGAATCGTGTCCACCTAAAACTTGCACAGTTCTTGAAGAGCCTATTAAGGGCCAAATGTTGAATATTTTCCATAGAGGACATTTATGCTAAACTTTGGACGATGTAACACACCTATCCTTAAGAAGAGCAAAAGCTTGCGCACGCACGCAAACACGCACGTCACAGCAAATCCGTTTGTGCTAAGGTTGATCCGTCCTGTACAATCACGCTTCACTAATGAGCAGTCTGAACTAAATCATTAGATGCCCACCGTTCGTTCGTTCCACTTTACCGCACCGCAGTTACACGTGATACCTACGCTTTCTGTCTTTTGTTTTGTTTCCAAAAGCACCCACATCTGTACTCAGGAGATTACTCATACAAACAGAAAGAGTTACCTCGTTCCTCCTCTAATTTGCGTACATCGTGCATACGTTTTAATCCCACACAATGTATTCATTGGTTCGCTAAGCCTCAATTCAATCTGTGAGTATGATTGAACTTCAAAACTAAAAGGGGGTTTCGTGTACAGTCCACGTGTGAATTACTTGATTGTATAGAGATTACGTCTTTTCTCACCTGACCGACATATGTTGGTAGTGCAGTATGGCTTCACCTCAACAGCAACTTGGTGGTTTCTCGTGCAAAACCCAAACCATTTCAGGGAATATCGATTAAATTAAACATGACAATCCTTATTGATCCTTCGATGAATCGTTGTATTTATTTGTGGTAATAAACTTTCCCCCGGGGTTTGTAAATGAGCACTTGAACTTCCACAAACAAAAGTTACAAATTACCGTGTGAAATCAAATTGGCGAAACTCTCCTTGAAGTAGCACCACTTAAACCTACCAAGACCCATTCAGGGATTTGCTACTCTAACAACAGAAAACTGAACTAGAGTAAAACTTATCACCCCAAATTTTATTGCATTAGAAAATAAAGTGAGAATATATTTGCCTAATAAAAATCAATTGTACTACGCAGGAATACAAATCCGAACTGCACTCGTAAATTGCAGTCAATGAAGACAACATATTGTGATGAAAGGTGGTACAAAGAGAGCCCCGGATAGCGAAGGATCAAGAATACGGCCTATCCAACCAGATGCGCAGACGTAGCGGCTAGAAGTACTTCGCGAGACAATGTTGACTACCACTCGAAGCGAATGAATCAATAATTACAGCCCAACGGACAGTCCGCTTCTATCCAGAAAGACTACCAAAACGTCGGAGCTGTGGATCAACGTATCTCGCACTACGATCTGGCCAAACCAGTCGGAACGGCACGCGGAAGAACAGACAACGTATGTGCCAAGTGCGAACCAAAACTAACAGGGATTGACCAACAGGATAAGGAATGAATCACCCTGCCGCACGGTTAAGAATTGATGGCATATAATTGAATGCATACACCAGTTTTTTAATTGAACCAATACATGCTTTGCCAGCTGAATCGCCTTCTCGTTACATTGGTGCCGTCGCCTAAGTCAGCACAACACAATGAAGGTACCTTGGCCGAACGCGTTTGCAGATGGAGATGTGGAGAAATGGATTCGCGATTTTGAATTAATCACGTCATGCAACGGAATCAAAGGGAGTGCGCATCTGGTCACAGTGTTGGGTGCACTGCTTTCCGGACGAGCGAGGGCCGCTTACGATTTGAATTGGGAAAGCAACCAAGCCCTTGATTATGAGAATTTGAGAGCTGCGCTGGTGGCAGAGTTTTCAGAAGAGGGTGACCGCGAGAAGGCAATGAACTGGTTTTATGCTGCGGAGTACAACCGGAGTGAGGACCCGTTGGTGCACTAACAATACGTAAAGCGCCAAATTTCTCTGGACCTGCCAGAGGCAAACAATAAAACGCTGCAGAGGCTGGCCAAAGACCGGTTCATACAAAGCATGCCGGCACAGATGAGGGACAAACAGGCTTGCAGTTGCGTACGGGGTTATTGATGAAGACCACCCAATTTCGATTGTGCAAGCCTATCAACAAGATGGCGTGGTTGCTCGGGTGGATCCTTCCGAAACCGAAGGCGAGGTTGAACAAATGTTTGAAGAAATTAGAAGACTGAAGGAGAAACTCAAGGGCCGATCACAAGAAAGGAGACGTTCCAGAATCCGAGTTCGACCAAAAAGCTGTTCCGCTTGCCACGGTATGGGGCATTTTGCCCGTTTTCTTGCCCAAACAACTACATTCGTTCTTGTTTTTCACTCTCTAATCCGACTTCCCTTGGGCTTCCAAGGCTCGAGGTTTTCATTTTTGGACTATCAAAGATGGCTGTTATTGATACGGGTTCCGGGATTTCCATCATGTCTTGGGTGGAAGGGATTCCGGTGAGATCCTGTAATCTGAGCGTACGTGCGGTTGGAGGCATGCCACCCAGCCTTGGGGAAACAATATGTTAGTGTGCAGATTGCCGGGGTGACTGTTACCCATGAGATGTTCTCGATCGAAGGTGTGAGTGAGATTATAATCGGTGTCGATCTACTCAGGCGCGTGAGTGCGAAGATTGATTTCGTGGGAGGTAAATGGCTCGTGGGATCTCAAGCACACTAATTAAGCTCAGGAAAACAAATGCATACCCTCGTCAGCGTTGTGAGGACATCGGCCGTTCCGGCGTGTGTAATTCCATGTGTTAAGCAATGCGTTGAAAAGTTTCCTGAATTGTTTTCTACTGCAGACAAAGAGTAAGGACTTTGCGATTGATTAGAACACAAAATAAAACTACTGCCAAGAGCCGTGTGTAAGCCTGTATACCGAAGGAGGCCTCACAAGATACTGCCGGAGGTGCAGAAACAGGTACGCGACATGCTGTCATGCTGTTATCCGTAAAAGTACCAACCTGTACTCGTCACCAGTGCTGATCACTAGAAAACTTGACGGTACCTGCAGATTATGTGTCAACTTTGGAGAACTGAATCGTGCAACCATAAAGGACATCTTTCCGAGGCCACTGACGGTTGAGATATTTGAACAAGTCCACTCTGCACAGGTACCTTCACTAAAATCGACTTGAGGTCGGGGTATTGGCAAATATCAGTGACAGCCAGTGATAGAGAGAAAACAGCATTTTGTGTAAAGGGGCAGCAATACGAATTTGTTCGGATGCCGTTTGGGTTGTGCAATGTACCAGCCACGTTCATACGTCGGCTCCTACAAATATTGGAAAACTTGGACGGTGTTGTAGTGTACGGGGACGATATTGTTGTGTTCTCAAAGACACCCGAGAAACATGTGAGTTGGCTAGAAGCAGTGCTGGGGAGAATCGGGAGTGCAGGCTTGAAATTAAGTGCAACGAAATGCCTTATTCATGGAAGATTCCCATAGGAATACCAAAAGCCAAACAATATAGCGAACAAGCTTGTTTTCGTAACTTCGTTTTCAGGCCTTTACAGTCATGTGTGCGTGTTTATATCTAATGTAGAAATCGATGTGATTGGACCATAGGGGTTAAGTATGAAAATACAATAATTTCTATGAAGGTTAATCAGAACGAGCGAATAAAATGGGGACAGTGGACGAAGGGGAGAGAGGACAAATGTCAATTCTGGAATTTTCGGTGACCTTTTTTCATGAACGATTTGTCAAGCCATGTTGTGTCAATACGACATGACTGAGGTCATGGTTGGGGTCATCACGTAGGTTTACTTGGGGCCAGGGTAAGTGAAGTGTGGCAACCATCTTCTTCTGTTTGTACAGTGGTGGGCTCATGATTTTGATTGCTACAGCTCCCGGTGTTGCAAAGTGACGTCACCACTCTACGTTTGATGTTTGCAAGCTGGCCTCAGCTCTGCGCAAACCTCAAGGATAAGCTGTCCATCCTCTCCTCATCTACGATTACTTATTCCTTCACTTGCACATATTCGGCAAGTTACGTAGAATGAACGATGAAGCAGTTTTCCCAAAGGATTAGAGAACATAAGCCGGCTTGGCTCAGAACGGGTTGCAAGAAAACAATAACCAGTGCGATTATGGCCCACCTCGTTGATACTGGGCATCAACTAGACAACGATGCATTCAAAGTCATCTACAAAGTACCCCATAACAAATCGAAGCAAGTTTGGAAACGTCACTGTGCAACACCGGGAGCTGTAGCAATATAGGGAAAGAGACGTAACTGTCAGAATGGTAGATTGCGAATAAATGGAATAACAGTTTTTTGTGTGTTTCACCCTACACATTTTGAAACTTATTTGTGTTATTTGTTGTTTTTACGGAGCACGGGATTTCGACAGTCAGACCGTACAGCATTCGCGCACCAACCGAAGCCAAAGCTGAAGCTAGCTTCTTCAGACCTCTACGCCATGTCATGGTGGTCACATTGATAACTGGCAAAAGTGTAACCATGTTCGAAAAGATAACTTAAAACTTAGATGGTCAATGTTTGGATTAGTCCACTCGGTTTTTCACAGGCACTAAGCACTGTTGGTGGTGTTCGGTGTCAGTTTCACTCCCTGGGAGATCGTTAACTCCCCACTGTTTGAATGCAGTTAAACACGGTTCGAGTCCTGACAGGGACAGAAGAAGTACGCACTGCTGACGAGTCCCAAACAGGGCGAAACAACTGTCCAGTGCTATGTGTCGGTTATCAGAAACATTTCCACCGCATTTAGATAACTGGAGACTATCGACAAGGCGCCCTGTCATTTGCGTGTCGCAGTCCTACGATGCCAGCTAACTCGTCGTCTTTCCTTTGAGTCACCTGGCTTCCCGTATATAGGATGCTCGACTGTTCCTGAAAATTTCTCATGCAATCGTGTATACAACGAGATGAGAGTAACATTAATAAGGAAAAAGCAATCAAAACGGACCTCTTTCCAAATATAAGAGGTTTTATGGAATGATCAATGATTAATTTGGCGTAATGGGAAGCGATCACGCAATGTTATAACTTTTTAATTGCCGTCACTTGTTTTTGATACGTTACCTGAATCACTGTGTGCAATCAACCCGACAAAAGAGTATTGCGACAACCATAAAATAACGGTTTATCTGATTTCGACGATCAAATATGAAATTAACTCAAAAACCTTATCTAAGAACGGTGGATAACTAGCGTTCACTCATTTAGACTACTACATATAGCATGGAAACTTCGCTGGATGTAGCTATTGAGCAATGTTTATTTCTTTGTAAATTTTATCTTACAACTTGAGGCAAAAGAAAATGTTTAGCTCGTTTGCTATTATGTGCTGCGCGATTCGTGATCCTCGGTAAGTTTCAACTTACCTGGCGGGGGAGTGAATAAATAAAACAAGAATATAGTTGCTTGTCAACAATGAACAATCAAGAAGATAATGGGTTGTGGTAAAAATTTATCTAAATAATGAAACTAGTTCGGCTCACATGAATATATATTCGTCGTAGGGTAGTATATTTTACCCCAAATGTTTGCCATATTAATTTGAAATGAACGGGTTTCCATTTAAATTTGGAGCATATAACGTAAGAGCTTTACTAAAGGGACAGTATTTCATTTTGTATTTCACTGAGCCAATAACTTAACATACAAGATTATCAATAGTTTGGCAACGCAAATGCTCGTTTTGTTTTTCTGTGACCAAACGACAAAGGTTTAACATCACTAAGAATAAATAAAAAGGTACATAACAACTGTAAATTAGTGTCGCTTTGTTTGTCCTAAATGATTAAAAGGCATTTAGATGTCACATTCAGCTTTTTTGAAGTAACGTTTAATTCTCTCCTATCTATTGAATCGCACCTTAAATAGTTGTGTTGTGTAAGAGGGCAATTAGTTTTGCTAAAGCCAAATCAAAATAGTACAATAATTGGATAATTAAATTCTTTTTTCTGTCCTCAGTTCCACACAACCTCTGGCGTGAACGATCTGCGGTCATCAGGGAATCAAAAGGTTCGAATATCACTATCTATCGTTGTTTATTTTTGCCTCAACTATAATTTTTCCTACGGAAATTTGCCATGAAGCGTACATAGTCAGAACAAATCGTCAGTTAGCACAGCCAATGGTCGAGCAGCTTGCGGACTGATTGGTGAAGTCTCTGACGCAAATCACACTCGGTAGTCGGGCAGTTACTTGAATCCCGAAGTCATCAGCCAAACACATAATTGATCCCGCTTCCTTGTTTAAACTCTAATTATGAAATTACAATGCAAAACTCTCCGTGCAGTTAGTGAGGCCTTGTTAATCAGATTACATCGGTCCGCTTTGTTCCCCTCAAAGCTTGGTAGTCCAATCAAGTCACTTATCGTGGATTTTACCTATTTTTTAAATTTAACTAGCCACTGTTATCTGTATAAGTTCATTTACTAGGATACGCTATAAATTTGCCTGTTTATTTTGCATCTGCGATGGTTCGAATCTCGCTTAATGTGTCTTCTTTCGGGGTGGATGCGATGGATAAAGTGAACCCAGTGTTTCAAAACAGCGATAGTCATCGTCGACTGTTCTAAATGATACTATCGTCAAGATGGGCGTTTCATCTAGTATAATTATCTTCCACCTGGGGAACATAACCAACCTCGTGTTAATTACCTGGTACAGGATACTCCCATAAGACGCAAAACAGGTTAGAAGTTTATGAATAGAATTCAAAGTCACTGAGAATCTTCCATTATCAATTTTTGACTCGGTTGACAGGTTAAATCAATTCAGATTTGTGTGCTGAATCACCAGTTTGTGACTCCAACGAAAACAAGTTTTAAAAATTGACTCTCTGAGATTCTTATTAGGGTATTACCACTATTAAAACCCGGAATTCGGGTCATTTCGCTAGTTCCATTCGCTACTCAATTAAGTGAACTTCATTCGGAAGTGACCCTGCTGATT